GGGGGTACATCTATAACGGCAATTAGATTTTCCAGACCCGACCTACCTCCTCAGACACCTTATTGAAGTGCTAAGCTCATCAGAGACGAATGGTACAATGAACGGAATTTTGGCGTTCAGTAAAGTACCACGGGGTCTATTGCTAGTGGCCGCATTTCGTTCCCTGTGGAAGGTCGAAGAATGTAGTAGCCATTGAGCGCAGCTATTTCGTGTGCCATCTTCACTGATTCTCTTCGCTCATCTTCTCCACTGCAAACACTGGCTGGTGTACGGAACATATTCCTTACAACGGCCTGCTTGGTCTGAAAAGGATGAGCCGAGTGGCAATGCACGATGATATTTTTGTTGCTGGGCCTCCTGTACCATTTCGTTGAGAGCATCCCGCTGTGCAGCCTCACTTGTACATTCAGAAATGGGAGCCAGCTTCCAGAAGGTCGTTCTCGTGTCAGTCGGATGTGTTCGGATTGAGAAGTAGGTCAAAATACAATTCCATGTGTTCTGGCGTCGAGCAAACTACGAAACAGTCATCAATATAGCGGCAGTAGGGCATGGGGCGGTGTTCCAAAATTGGCGCATCAACCTTGGACATAAAGACTATGGCCAGAGCAGGCGCCAGACGTTGCCCCATAGCTAAGCCCCTGGTCTGCTCGAAATGCTCTCCCGACCACCTGAAGATGTTGCAACTGAGACATATTTTGAACAATGACATCATCTGGTCAATAGAGAGTCCATGCATGTTGGCCATGCCTTGATGTTGATTTAGCAGTTCTAGTATTGCTTCCATGGCGGAAACATTACTCACGTTAATGTAGAGACTCTCTACATCAAATGATTCCATGACGCAGGCACTATTGGGTTGAAGTGGCTGAAGCTTGCTCAGGAACATCTGGGTGTTGGTCAGGTGGGAGGGTATGTATTTGAGAAGCTGCATCAAGATTACGTTTAGAAACCATGCTATACGGACAGTGGGACCCCCCATGCAGCTGACGATAGGTCGGTTTTTGATCGAGGTGGGGGAAATTGATGCTAAATCGTCCGTTGCTGCGAACTTACGTATTTTTATCAGCAATTATAGCATGGGGCAACACGGTGGCTCGATTTTGAGCTGTGCTATCAAGGAATGATCCAAACCCGCTGATTTGGCAGTATCATCCACACTCGGTTGAGTCTGCGACACTGCGCTTGGAAGTCCTTGGCTGCGGATGGTCGGTAAATAGAGGTATCTCCCAGATGGTGTTTTTTTATTACAATGTCAAGTTGTCGGGGGATTACCACAAATTCTCCTCCTTTGTCACTAATGGACAATCTGATGGTCC